ATAATTTTCCCTTTTAGATATGCAACCCCATATTCCCCAATATTCTTTTGAAACCCCGACATCCAACTGCCGTGATGGCTCATTCACTCTTTCATCAAACAAGCTCTTGGCTCACCGCCCCGCATAATGTGGTGCGTATGAGTTATTAATAATCCACCATTTTACTTTAAAAAAAAAGTTATTAAATCTAATTCTTGTGGTTGACCAATTTCAGTGTTTGCAAACAGTGATAACGGTTTTTGTGGGCGGAGCCTATCTGGTGGCAGAAAATGGCCGTTTTAACGTAGCAGTCTATTCAAGCCACGGAATAAAAGAATAAAAAATGTAATTTTGAGTTTATATTTAAAAATTCTGACTTTTTTCTTGCAATTCCGTGATTATATCTCACAATTCTGGTAAGAAAAATCAACTCGTCATTCTTTCTTTTTAGTTTATAATCACACACTTCTGGCTTTTTTCGTTTATATTTAAAAATTCTGACTTTTTTCTTGCAATTCCGTGATTATATCTCACAATTCTGGTAAGAAAAATCAACTCGTCATTCTTTCTTTTTAGTTTATAATCCCACACTTCTGGCTTTTTTCCCTCAGAATTGACAAACTCGCAATTGTTGAGTTGAATCAAGTTATAAAGTCCGAACTAGGAGATATAAACTTGCATTTGTAAGAAAAAAAAATCCGAATTGTGAAATAAAATAGTAAAATGTTATAGGTTTAAATAGTATTTCATGCATGTATTTCAACTGTAGGGCTAATACAACATGTCCCCTATATGAATATTATATAGACCTATTGTTTAAATCAAATGTATGCTTTAAAAGTAGGGTAATCATAGCAGGTTTCATCCATAGTTAGCCATTTTGGAGCTTGTTTGCGATTTCTCTCAGTGTACTGAAGGAGGCACGCAGGCTTTTAATGTCCAGTGAGGGGCGCTGTTTTACTTTGACTGAAACGCAGTCTTTCAAAACTCTGTAAAAATGCTTTGTGTGCAAAATAAACCCGTAATACCTAGAAAATGTATAAACTGAAAAAAATTAAAAAAAAACTCTCCTCGATGAATGTAACATTCTTGATGATGTAAACATTCTAACTGCAGTCAATTAAACCATTTTCATGCCTTCTGTACTTTCCAAACTCCATGTACATAAGTGTAAAGAAAGGAGTTTTGTGTAAGGGTTAGATTTAGGTTTGAAAATATGTATATTATACAGTAAATATGGCATGTGTCTTAGAAATTTCAATTGACCATCGTGTTTTTATGTTTATACTCACACAAACCATTTTTTATTTTTTTTACAGTATGTTTTGTAAGTCGTTTCCATATGAGGGCTGTTGGCTGGTCCCTGTGATGTAGGTGATTTCATATTTTACTGTGGGGAGATTTGGTCCCCAAAATGTTGGCAAAGCCTGACCCACTTGAACCTCTTTGTCAGTACTTGTGTATAAGATGATGTTTGTGTGCTTGTGTCTGCATTATCTGTGTGCTAGTTTGCATACTATTGTTTAGCAAATTCTGTTCTCTTAATAGGCTGCATAATGTTCTTTGTGTGTGTGTGTGTGTGTGTGTGTGTGTGTGTGTGTGTGTGTGTGTGTGTAGGAATGAGGCAGTCAGGCAGATGCAGAGGGATGTACAGTATGTTTCAGAGTACATTAAGTGACTACACCTGACAGTCTGTTCCAGCCAAATGGATTTATTTTCTCACTAGCGCTATTTAGCCCCTTACTGTAGACAAAATGACAAGCAGAACAGCACAGCCATGAAGCATTATATTAACACATGCACTTGATGCACTGTGGCTGTCTCTGTCAAGGCTTTTAACCCAAACACTAGTTTTCATTGAAGCAATTCCTCCTGCAGCCTGTCTGCGTCTTTGCCAGGTTTCACCAGAATCCTCTCTCTTCTAATCAAAAGGCAACAAGCTTTAATAACATCTATTAAAGAGATAGCTCACCCAAAAACGAAAATTGTCATCATTTACCCAACCTCATTGAACACAAAAAGAAGATAGTTTGAAAAAAACACTATTCTATTCTATTCTATTCTATTCTATTCTATTATATTATATTATATTCTGCTACTTTGATTCCATGACCACATTCATGTATTCTGTTTTAACAAGTGATTACTGTATATATTTTGCAACATGTGCAATGTATTCATCCTTTGAAAGACATCCTCAACATTGTGAATTCCACGATGCATGCATAAATCTTCATCCTTCAACATAGACAGCTTTCTCAAATACAAAGCTTCAATAATAGATCAAAAATGAGGTTCTCTCGCTCACTCTCTCTCTGTGTGCGAGTGCGGCAGGTGTGTGGATGCAGCCCCCTGTATGCCGTTAAATTATAAAGAGCTCTCGCAGAGTTCAGGAGACAACCCTGACCTCTGGTAACAGCAGGTTTGAGAGAGAGCACCACATGAGCTCTGCAGCAGAAGCAACATGGTGCCAATAGCTGATTCCGATTCAGTGGATTGTTTTAGCACATGGTGTGTGATTGGCGTAGCTTTGGTTTGAGATCAGCTTTCTTGGTTTACTGTTATGTGGAAATTGAGGGCTTGAGGATGCACTGTAAGTTTCTCGAACTCTTACTTTTGCCAAGTCAGGGAGTGTCAGAGCAAGAGAAGATACCGGTTATCAGCAGGGATCAAGCTGTTGATAGATACTTGGCTGTCTTTCTGACTCTGGGCTTTGAGCTTAATACCACACAAATGTATGTCTCTTGAAACTTCATTGGTGGGAAACAAAGCTGATGAATCAATAGTAGCCTCTTAGCTGTATATAGTGGTATAATGTCATCTTGCTCACCACTCACATTTGCAATGCTATAACTTCAACTTAAAGGGTCACACCAAAATTATTATTTATTTATTTATTTGGTAATAATTTACCCTCATGTTGTTTCAAACCTGTATGACTTACTTTCTTCTTTGGTACACAAAAGAAGATATTTTTTTCAGAATATCTTATTTTGTCCATGCAATGAAAATAGTTCTTAAAAGGTCTTATATTTCTGTTATACAGAAAATCAATGAGGTCCAAAACAACAATAACAAATTATGAATATGGTTGGCTCTGTGGTGAATTGCTTTTGTTCCTCTATTGTAAGTCATTTTGACATACAGTAAATGCAAAAATGTAAATGTGCAGAATTTCTCCTTTTGTGTTCCACAGAAGAAAGATTGTGACAGTTTTCATTTGTGGGTGAAGTATTAAGATCAATTGCTATCATGTGTGTCATGCTGTCAATTTCCACCAAGAAAATCCCAGGAGACAGTTCCATTGGCATTCCCATTCGTCTCAATGGCAGTTGCTGCAGATGGTGCAGGATTTGAAATCCGTGGTTCCCATGAGCAAAGATGGCAGTTTTTGAGCCAATCCCTCCCAGTTTTTAAATGCCATGACCGTACAACTGTTTTGGACAGTATCAGCATAAATCCATATAATTTTGTGATGACTTTGCAATGATAAGGGATAGAATATATACAATTAAAACTTACTTTAGTATAATTCTCTCTATAGTATATTCCTATATACCAGGGGTGGCGAACGTCGGTCCTGGAGAGCCCACGAGCCCTGCAGAGTTTTGCTTCAACCCTAATCAAACACACCTGAACAAGCTAATCAAGGTCTGAATGGTTACTAGGGGTTCTAAGGATATTTTGATGGTTGCCAGGTGACGCTCTCCTCATACTGAGTGACATATCTCAGGGCTAGGCTTAGAAAAACAGACTGATTCATCTTATTTTTAAGAGGCTGTTTGCAGGAGGCCATCATTTACATCATCTGACCAGCCTCAGCCTGTGCTGCAGACAGAAATAATGACGTCCCTGCTGAGTTCTCACCATCTCTAAGATAAATTCCAGCAGAATCTGAATTGATTTTTCAGA